AGACCCAGCTAGAGCAAATGCGTGGCAAAACACCACTGATGTCATGTTGTACTAAACACTCCATTTTAAACCCCCTTTCGGGGCCCAAGGCCCAAATTGGAGTCACGCCCCAGTGCCCAAAAATTTTTCAAAAAAAAAATTTTTTATTTTTTTTATGAAATTTTTTAAAGAGAACTTTTGTGAGGAAATTAAAACAAAAAGTACAAAATTTTGGTGGAAAATTGACAAAAAATTATGCTCTCGCGAATTTTGAGTGTCAGCGATATTTACGAATCGGTGTTTTTTCCCGACTTTGACTCCCTTTTTTGGCCATTACTTTTTCCCAAATAAACCAAATTCTTAGCTATTTCACAGTATTACTTTATTTATCGATTTTTGGACAAGAAATCGCCCCAAGTCAACTGTTTCAACTACAAAAAAAATGTCGGAAATTGTTAATTTTTGGGCCCAATTAAAAAAGTAAAAAAATTCCAATTTCAAAATAGGGTCCGAATGAACAATGTGGATTCTGGCACTAAAAAACATTTCTTGTTATTAGTTATGTTTTGAGGCTTTACAAATAAATTTTATTTTGATTTTTTTTTTCACATAATGAATTTTTTTTCCACCAAAAAATAGAAGATTTACTTTAGCAATACTGTAATAATTGTAAAATATCATCACCTATTTGTGATGTATATTAGACCCACCAGTGGCGTGTATTAGAGTGGGGTGTTTTTTTACTTTTGATACGGCAAAAATTTAAAATTTCCCCTACTTTGAGCTCAGTTTCAAGCCATTTCAAACTAAAAAAAATAAAAACATCTTATTTCTGTAAATGTCTTCCTTCTATCAAAAGGGCCCAAAAAAATGCAAATTTAAATATAAAAAAAATAGAAAAACACTGCAAAGTTGCTGTTTTAAACGAAAAATTTATTTCATTTTTTTTCTCTCTAACAGTGTGCGCAGGATAGGTTTTATGTGGTGCAAACCCCTAACATAGTGTATTTCATATTTGGCCCCAAATGTACCCCCACGTTTTGAGTGGCTGAGTCATGGCGTAGATCTATGGTTTGGACCTGAACGTTTTAAAACCGTAGATTACGGGCGGACCCGAAAAGGGGGTTTAAAAGGAAAGTGATGTGACCCCGAGTTTAGTGGCTTTTGGTGGATGGACCCCAGTGGTAATGAAATATCAAAAACCTTGATAGTAACCCATGTTCAAATCCCTTCATTTTTGTACCACTGGTAGTGGGATCCCGCCAGAATGTCCTGTAACCTATGCCCTAAATAAAATCGATTCTGGAACTTTGTGTAATACATATTCGGCCGTCTGGCTGGCGGCTGCCGCCCACCTGCCTTCCTTGTACAGAGTCACATCAACCCTCCCCACACATTTTTGTAACAAGCAGTGACAACTATAATGTAATGAATAAAAAAAAACGAATTAGTACAATGCTTTAAAAAAAAATTAGGGGTGTAATGAACTAACCTATTTTCCATGTGTACTTCAGTTCATTTTAGATGATTTTTTAATTAGATGCTGTTTTCAGGAAACATAAACTGCCATCTGAAGCCTTTCATGTTCTGTGCACAGTACTACAGTTTTGAGGTCAGGGTCCACGCCATAGAACTATGCGATGAACTGTGAGCGGAAATTTGGGCCTAGATATGAGAGAGTAGGTCTGTGCAGTGAGTTTGAACCATATAAAAAAAAATCCTGCCCCATGCAGTACATGATAGGAGAAAAAACTGTGACCATGCATCTGGTTTAACTCTTTCAGGGTTTCGGCTGTATTAGTACGGCTTGCGCACCAGGGTTTTTGATGTACTAGTATGCCTAAATTCTAGCGCCCTCAAATCTAGTGAGAGAAAGCTGGTAGGCCTACATATGAAAGAAGGGGTCTATGTAGTCACTGTGCGCAGTTAATATAAAATCCTGCAGCACACAGTGCGTAATGAGAAAAAAAAAAAACTTCGACTGTGTTTTTGGATTTAAAACAGCGACTTTTTGCACTGTATTTTCATATGATATTTATGATGGTACACGTAATTCTAGTTTTCCTGATCTCATTTTATAGAATGGAAGACATATTACGGAAATAGAGATGATTTTGACTGGTTTTACAATGAAAAGTACAGTGGAACCTCAAAATTTAACTGCTCCAACACAACCAATTATGTTTAAATGTATTTTGTAAGTGCTTTTATAAGTGTATTTTTAAGGGTCTGAAATGGACTAATCTAATTTACATTATTCCTGATGGGAATAAATTCATTCGGTAAAGGCACTCGAACAGACTTCTGGACCGAAGAAAGTTCGATATTTGAGGTTCCACTGTACCTTGAAATTGAGCTCAAAGTAGCAGAAATGTTCGACTTTTACCAAAGTTCAAAAGTAAACAAATCGTGCTAAGCGTCAATACACGCCAACTGGTGAGTCTAATATTCTTTCACAAGTGCGCTGATATTATTTATACCATTTCTACACTAATGCAGTAGTCTGCATAACAGTAAATCTTCCATTTATTGTGAGAATAAAAATTCAAAGTGGAAAGCAAAAGAATGTAAGAGGGGCCTGGGGACATGACTAATGAACAGAGGAAATGTTATTTTAGTGCCAGGAATGTCTTTCTTGTTTATTCTGGACCCTATTCGGAAATTGGCATCTTTTGAAATTTGTGTGAAATTGGTAAAATTGTTAAATTCTGACCACTTTATTGGATAGTTGAAATTGGTAAATGGGTGGTTTCTTGTACTCATTCGATAGAAAAAATGGAGTTCTAGCGAAATAATTATGATTTTTGTCGACTAGTACACTGGAATTGGCCGAAAATAGGGCTCAAAGTGGGCAAAATCACTGATGCGTAAAAATCAGTTCAGACCGCTAACTTCGCGAGAGCATAATTCCGTAAGTTTTCCATCAAATTTCATACTTTTGGTGTCATTATGATCGGGAAAAGATTCTCTATCTTTTCACGAGAAAAAAAAAATATTTTTTTTTTTTTGAAAATTTGGCGACCCTGAGAACAAATCTCGGAGAGGGCTTGGCGACCCTGAAAGGGTTAAAGTAGCAATTTTTGCAGTGTATTTTTGAATGGTTTTTTATTGTTTTACTCTTGGTTTCTTGGTATCATTTGATAAAATAGAAGATATATTACAGAAATAGAGATGATTTTGATTGGAAGTAGCTTGAAATTGAGGACTGGATCTACAATGCTTGAAATTGGGATCAAAGTAGTGGAAATATTCAATTTTTGCTTCTATTCCAGAGGACTTGTCCAATACATATCCATCTGGTCGGTCGAAGATGCATTCACAAATGTGCTGACATTATTTATACAATTATTACAATAATGCAATAGTCTGCATAACATTAAATCTACTGTTTTTTGTGTTAATAATTAAAAATGGAAAGCAAGTGTAACATAGGAGTGGTCTGGGGATGTAACTAATGAACAGAGGAAATGTTTCAGTGCCAGGAATGTCTGTTTTTTTTTTTATTCTAGACCCTGTTTTTAAATTGGCAATTTTTTAATTTTGTTTGAAATTTGCCAAATTACCAATTTCTGATCACTTTATTGGGTAGATGAAATAGTTAAATGTTCAATTTCTTGTTCTCATTCGATAGAATGGAAGGCATACTAACAAAACAGCTATGAATTTGGTTGACTGGAATATTGGAATTGGCCCAAAATAGGACTCAAAGTGGTGAAATTGTCAGTGCATAAATATCACAGAGACCACTGACTTTGTGAAAGCGTAATTCCATAAGATTATCATCAAATTTTGTATTTTTGGCATCATTACTTTCAGAATAAAATTCTCTATTATTTCATAAGTTTTTTCTTGTCTTGGACCATGTGGACATGTTTCAGATTGGGGGTCTGGACTCTCAGAGGGTTAATTGACAATCAGATATGTATGCATAAGTATACATCTGCACATGCATACACACAAAAAATTACATATATAAATATGTTCACAAATGTACATTTACATACAGTACATATGAAAGTGCACTTTTTTTTTTTTTCAACACACAGGCTGTCTCCAACCAAGGCAAGGTGACCCAAAAAAGAAAGCAGCACTTTCACCATCATTCACTCCAAACAGCCAATATCCCTAACCCCTCCTTTGAAGTGAAAGCATTGTATTTCACTTCTCCAGGACTCAAGTCTGGCTAACCAGTTTCCCTGAATCCCTTCACAAAATATTACCTTGCCTACACTCCAACAGCTTGTCAGGTCCCAAAAACCACTTGTCTCCATTCACTCCTATCTAACATGCTTACACATGCCTGCTGCATGTCCAGACCCCTTGCACACAAAACCTCTTTTACCCCCTCCCTCCATCCTTTCCTAGGATGATCCCTATCCCTCCTCCCCTCCACTACAGATTTATACATCCTCCAAGTCATTCTATTTTGCTCCATCTTCTCTAAATGATCAAACCACCTCAATAACCCCTCCTTAGCACTGTGAATAATACTTTTAGTAACTCCACATCACCTAATTTCCACAGTTATCTTTCGTGTAGTGTGAAAGTGCACGTATGTAAAAAAAAAAATTCAAATGCCCATACACACACACACAAACGTTTTATTTTGCTGTATTGAAATTTTATGACCATTCTCCACTATTTCTTTTGCTTGCATATAGGTAGAGGAGGATGTGCTTGTGGGTATTTAGTACAGGGATACCTTTCTTGGATCACACAGTGTCTGAAATATAACTAGTTTACTTTGATTACTTTTTCTAGATCCTCTTTGGTATGTTTTCTGTAAAGTTGTATACCTCTGATATGAACTATAAATAAGCCGTAATACTGTGGCTGTAACAGTTCATCAAGTCAGCAGTGGCTTGGCACTGATCCACAACAGACTGGACCATCCTCGTAAGGTTCTTCTTGTAAGTGCAAGTTATTTGTGAATACCTCTGATATTAATGTCTTGTACAGTATTTACAAGACATGTATCCAATCAATACTCTTTCACAGTACTGAATTCATTTTTTTTTCAGCCTGAAGTAATAAGTGTTGACTCATCACCAGAGTTGCTCTTACCACCTCCCATACCTCCTCTGCCAGCTGCCATCCCTTCCACGTCTGATCCTTCACTGCCATCATCTTCAAACACACATGGTGTACTTGATGTCAATATTCAGGTGAGACTTTTGAAGTTGCTGTGCATACATTTTTTTCCAAAAGAAACTGAAGTCTTTACAGCCAAACATCAATACTTTAATTCTAAAGAAAGGTTGAGGTGAGGCTAAAGTGTCATACAAGCTCTTGAAGTATTCAATTACCGTCTGTTTAATGTCTGACAAATTGTTTCCCTCCAGGTAAATGGAACACCATTGTTTTAACTATAATGCCTTGATATTGGGATTTAAAAGCACTTTGATGGGATGAAGATATTATATGATGTAATATAAGAGAAAAGAGAGAGAGAGAGAGAGAGAGAGAGGAATCGAGCAAACAGTGAGAGATTCAGAATCAAAAGTATGATTGGTTAAGGAGTGAGAAGAGTGAATCAGTACTGTATGTATGTGAATAAACTGTGGAACAGTAAAGATAAATTAGATGATTCTGGATGTGTTTGAATACTGAAGGTATTTGCAAATATTTTATTAAAAAATGATGAATCCCCGGGAGGAAAGTGTGTACTATATCCCCTTGCATGGTATATAACTAATAACCTAACAGACAAAAGAAAATAAACTTTTCTTTATATAATGCAACATTTGTGGTAAGCAGGTAATCAGGTAAAACACAGTAGAACCCTGTATCTGCAAATTTGGTTTCCACTGTTTCAGTTATCCACAGTTTTTCTCGGCCCTGAAAATATTAAGGAGGTTGCAATTTGACATTTCATTTTTATTTATCATCCGATTTCATTCAATTTTTTGTTTTTTGAAAAAGCACATAAAACATGGTCAAATAAAGCTTCATTAAGATTGGTCAACAAACAAATGAATATAAAAGTATACTGGAAATTGAATTTGGCAGCAAACAGGCATATACTGATATTGCAAAAGTTGTCTTCAGGAGCAGCAGCAGCAGCAGCAACTGCTGCAGTAGTAGCAAGAGTAGCAGCTGCTTCAAGAGCAGCTGTAGCAGTAGCTGTATCAAGACCAGCTGTAGAAGCACAAACAGCAGCTGTAGAAGCAGAAACAGCAGCTGTAGAAGCAGAAACAGCAGCTGTAGAAGCAGCAACAGCAGCTGTAGAAGCAGCAACAGCAGCTGCAGAAGTAGCAACAGCAGCTGTAGAAGCAGCAACAGCAACTGTAGAAGCAGCAACAGCAGCTGTAAAGCAGCAACAGCAGCTGTAAAGCAGCAACAGCAGCTGTAGAAGCAGCAACAGCAGCTGTAAAGCAGCAACAGCAGCTGTAGAAGCAGCAACAGCAGCTGTAGAAGCAGCAACAGCAGCTGTAGCAGCAGCAGCAACAACAGCAGCTGTAGCAACAGCAGCTGTATTATCATGACAGTTCTTGGTATCATTACCATCATGACACAGTTCCTGGTATCATCACCATCATGACACAGTTCCTGGCATCATTATCATCATGACACAGTTCCTGGTACAATTACCATCATGACACAGTTCCTGGCATCATTACCATCATGACAGTTCCTGGCATATTTACCATCATGACAGTTCCTGGTATCATTACCATCATGACATAGTTCCTGGTATCATTACCATCATGACACAGTTCCTGGTATCATTACCATCATGACACAGCTCCTGGCATCATTACCATCATGACATAGTTCCTGATATCATTACCATCATGACACAGTTCCTGGCATCATTACCATCATGACACAGTTCCTGGTATCATTACCATCATGACACAGTTCCTGGTATCATTACCATCATGACACAGTTCCTGGTATCATTACCATCATGACACAGTTCCTGGCATCATTACCATCATGACATAGTTCCTGATATCATTACCATCATGACACAGTTCCTGGTATCATTACCATCATGACACAGTTCCTGGCATCATTACCATCATGACACAGTTCCTGGTATCATTACCATCATGACACAGTTCCTGGCATCATTACCATCATGACACAGTTCCTGGTATCATTACCGTCATGACACAGTTTCTGGTATCATTACCATCATGACACAGTTCCTGGTATCATTACCATCATGACACAGTTCCTGGTATCATCACCATCATGACACAGTTCCTGGTATCATTACCATCATGACACAGTTTCTGGTATCATTACCATCATGACACAGTTCCTGGTATCATTACCATCATGACACAGTTCCTGGTATCATTACCATCATGACACAGTTCCTGGTATAATTACCATCATGACACAGTTCCTGGTATAATTACCATCATGACACAGTTCCTGGCATCATTACCATCATGACACAGTTCCTGGTATCATTACCATCATGACACAGTTCCTCGTATAATGCTGTCATGACACGTTCACTGGTTATACCATTGACAGTTCCTGGTATCATTACCATCATGACACAGTTCCTGGTATCATTACCATCATGACACAGTTCCTGGCATCATTACCATCATGACACAGTTCCTGGTATCATTACCATCATGACACAGTTCCTGGTATCATTACCATCATGACACGGTTCCTGGCATCATTACCATCATGACACGGTTCCTGGCATCATTACCATCATGACACAGTTCCTGGCATCATTACCATCATGACACAGTTCCTGGCATCATTACCATCATGACACAGTTCCTGGCATCATTACCATCATGACACAGTTCCTGTTATCATTACCATCATGAAACAGTTCCTGGCATCATTACCATCATGACACAGTTCCTGGTATCATTACCATCATGAAACAGTTCCTGGCATCATTACCATCATGACACAGTTCCTGGTATCATTACCATCATGACACAGTTCCTGGTATCATTACCATCATGACACAGTTCTTGGTATCATTACCATCATGACATAGTTCCTGGTATCATTACCATCATGACACAGTTCCTGGTATCATTACCATCATGACATAGTTCCTGATATCATTACCATCATGACACAGTTCCTGGTATCATTACCATCATGACACAGTTCCTGGCATCATTACCATCATGACACAGTTTCTGGTATCATTACCATCATGACACAGTTCCTGGTATCATTACCATCATGACAGTTCCTGGTATTATTACCATCATGACACAGTTCCTGGTATCATTACCATCATGACACAGTTCCTGGTATCATTACCATCATGACACAGTTCTGGTATCATTACCATCATGACACAGTTCTGGTATAATTACCATCATGACACAGTTCCTGGTATCATTACCATCATGACACAGTTCCTGGTATCATTACCATCATGACACAGTTCCTGGTATCATTACCATCATGACACAGTTCCTGGTATAATTACTGTCATGACACAGTTCCTGGTATCATTACCATCATGACACAGTTCCTGGTATCATTACCATCATGACACAGTTCCTGGTATCATTACCATCATGACACAGTTCCTGGCATCATTACCATCATGACACAGTTCCTGGCATCATTACCATCATGACACAGTTCCTGGTATCATTACCATCATGACACAGTTCCTGGTATCATTACCATCATGACACGGTTCCTGGCATCATTACCATCATGACACGGTTCCTGGCATCATTACCATCATGACACAGTTCCTGGCATCATTACCATCATGACACAGTTCCTGGCATCATTACCATCATGACACAGTTCCTGTTATCATTACCATCATGAAACAGTTCCTGGCATCATTACCATCATGACACGTTCCTGGTATCATTACCATCATGAAACAGTTCCTGGCTCATTACCATCATGACACAGTTCCTGGTATCATTACCATCATGACACAGTTCTGTATCATTACCATCATGACACAGTTCTTGGTATCATTACCATCATGACATAGTTCCTGGTATCATTACCATCATGACACAGTTCCTGGTATCATTACCATCATGACATAGTTCCTGATATCATTACCATCATGACACAGTTCCTGGTAATCATTACCATCATGAACAGTTCCTATCATTACCATCATGACACAGTTTCTGGTATCATTACCATCATGACACAGTTCCTGGTATCATTACCATCATGACAGTTCCTGGTATCATTACCATCACGACACAGTTCCTGGTATCATTACCATCATGACACAGTTCCTGGTATCATTACCATCATGACACGTTCTGGTATCATTACCATCATGACACAGTTCCTGGTATAATTACCATCATGACACAGTTCCTGGTATCATTACCATCATGACACAGTTCCTGGTATCATTACCATCATGACACAGTTCCTGGTATCATTACCATCATGACACAGTTCCTGGTATAATTACTGTCATGACACAGTTCCTGGTATCATTACCATCATGACACAGTTCCTGGTATCATTACCATCATGACACAGTTCCTGGTATCATTACCATCATGACACAGTTCCTGGCATCATTACCATCATGACACAGTTCCTGGCATCATTACCATCATGACATAGTTCCTGGTATCATTACCATCATGACACAGTTCCTGGTATCATTACCATCATGACACAGTTCCTGGTATCATTACCATCATGACACAGTTCCTGGTATCATTACCATCATGACACAGTTCCTGCTATCATTACCATCATGACATAGTTCCTGGTATCATTACCATCATGACACAGTTCCTGGTATCATGACACAGTTCCTGGTATCATTACCATCATGACACAGTTCCTGGCATCATTACCATCATGACACAGTTCCTGGCATCATTACCATCATGACACAGTTCCTGATATCATTACCATCGTAACATAGTTCCTGGTATCATTACCATCATGACACAGTTCCTGGTATCATTTCCATCATGACACAGTTCCTGATATCATTACCATCATGACACAGTTCCTGGTATCATTACCATCATGACATAGTTCCTGATGTCATTACCCTCATGGCACAGTTCCTGGTATCATTACCATCATGACACAGTTCCTGGTATCATTACCATCATGACACAGTTCCTGGCATCATTACCATCATGACACAGTTCCTGGCATCATTACCATCATGACACAGTTCCTGGTATCATTACCATCATTACACAGT